TTTATAATTCAATTCACCATTAGGAAGGAAATGTTTTCCATGGCTAAGTATTTTTTGAGACATAAATAACAAAGAATTTGTTTTAGGTGTTCAACATGACTTGACATACATATACATACATATATGTATGTATATAAACTGCAAAATGCTGATCACAGCAATTTAACATTCATCATCACAGTTTTCATTTTCTTCTTATAAGAATGTTTAAGATGTACAACTTTTAGTAACTGAAAGTAAGACTTAAATAAGAATGCTTTCATATCATGATATGATAAAAAATGTAAAACCAACAGAATCTATCACTAACGTCTTAATAATGGCACCCCGTTTTTGATACAGGACTGTTAGTTAAAGAAGTAAAGGATGTATTTCAGTGGGAGAGCACATGCTTCACATGTATGTGGTCCTGGGATCAATTCCCTGCACCATAAGACTTGAAATTGAAAATTTAAAAACTTACCCATATTGTGGTGCTCCCGTTATAATGTCTCCGATAGTGACATGAACATCATCCTCATCATCATCACTGTCACTATCATATTCAGTTTCAGTCACTTTCTGTACCAACATAAACAGTAATAAAATAGATTCAATAATGCACCTTCAACATGAATAACTGAAACAGTAACCAATTTGTTTCATCTATGGGTTTAGAGTTATGAAACCAATGTTTCCATTTCTTCTTTGTAAATTTAATGTTTTAAAAACTAAAAAAGAGTGATAGAAATGTGAAAAGAGGCTGTCAAGAAGTTTTTGTATGACAAACTAATGTATCTTTATGCGTAAAGCTTTCTCTCTTGCAAAAAGGATCTAAGGGAATGTGCTAAGATATCCAGCAGATAGAACCATAAAAAGTAGGCATTTGAAGAACTTTTGGCAAAAGGAATGTGAAGATAAGAGTGAAAAATTAATTATGGAGCTGGAGCCATAGCATTGCAGGGAGGGCATTTGCCTTGCGCACGGCTGACCCTGGACTCGATTACCAGCATCCCATATGGTCCCTGAGCACTGCCAGGAATAATTCCTGAGTGCAGAGCCAGTGCATCAGCAGGTGTGCCCCGAAAAGAAAAAAAAATTAATCATACTAGGCACAGTGTTAGGTTAAAAAGCAACAAAATGTTACCAAAGAGCTCACCAGTCATGGCATTCATTTATATCTTAGAAGAGGTCTTGCCACAAAATGACCGGGAATATATTTTATCTGAAAAATGAAAAAACATCAGCATACTTAGGAAATCTCTTAGGAAAGTGTTATTCTGGCTCTAAACAGCTATTTTGTCCATAGTATCCTTTTGGTTAACTTTAAAAAAAAGGACCATTTAAACCAGTATTTATCAATAAGAGACGGTATGAGACCAGGATGTTCCAAGGGGCAACGGCAGAATTCCCATGGGTGGGAGAAAGCAGGAGACTAGAGGACCATTAGCAGGAGAGGGCAGGCCACCAGGCCACACGTGGAAAAAAAGGCTGGAAGGGGCCAGAGTCTGAAAAAGACGGAAAACCATGAACCTGGGAAAAACATTTTTACCAGGACAAGTTTAATCCTGCAGAGTACCAATCTCTTTCTCTCATAGAAATAATTGGTAAAGGTAAAGGCCCTCCCGTTGATCGTCGATTTGCTCGAGCGGGCCCAGTAACGTCTCCATTGGAGACTGTGTTGTTACTGTGTCTGGCATATCGAATACTCTCGGCAGCTTGCCGGGCTCTCCGAGAGGGGCGGAGGAATCGAACTCGGGTCAGCCATGTTGGCCGCTTGTAAGGCGAACGCCCTACCCACTGTGCTATCGCTCCAGCCCAGAAATAATTGAATATATTAAAATCTTCAAAAGACCATGGTAAAATAATCCTGCAAAACATCACTTTGAAGGTGAATGAGGTCAGAGACCAACATACAAAATAACATCTTGCTTAAAAACAAAACCAAAAAAGCCAATTATTTCTTAAAAGAACTGTGATCATCTAACAGGTTCAGAACTCAAATGAAAGCAATAAACCTCTGCACACACTCTATTTCATCTGAACACCTTCCCACTATTTCTTTTCACTGTGCATCAAATAAAAATACCTGACAGCGAGATTGTGCAGGATACTCCAAAGTCTAGCTAAATGTAGACTTTCTTCTTAACTAGAAATCTACAGATTTTAAATACGGAAGCGACTGAATTCCAAAGCCTTATGTTACTGGTTTAGGAACACCATTTTCAGCAGCTTCCTCTTCAATTCCAGATGGAGGACTGGCACTACAAATAAAAACAAGTACACGTGTCTGTGGTTACTTTCGGGCAAGTGCCCGACTGTCGTCGGGCAAGAGGCGCCCTTTTCCGCAGGTGCGTCCACGCAAACTGGCCCTCGGGAAAGGAGCCGTTGGCGGGGCGGGGCGGCGCCGTCCCCGGGGCGATGGGCGAAGCGCTGAGGACGGGAGGGCGGTGCGGGCAGCTCGGAGGCCGGGGAGGGCGTCCCGGCCGGGGGCCGCGAGGACAGAGCAAGGCTTCGCGGCAGGAGCGCCGGGGAGCACCGGGCGGCAGGTACCGGCGGCGGCAGCGGGGGCAGCGGCGGCGGCAGGCACGTGGTGAGGCGCGCGCGGCGCGGCTTGTGCGCACGCGCAGCGGCGACCCAGCGGCGCGGCGGCGGCGACCTGAGCCTGACTGCGCCTGCGCGCGGCCGAGGCCCCGCCCCCCCCCAAGAGATCCCGCCCCGCCTCGCAGGGAGGCTTTCTCGCCCGCTGAAAAGGAAAGAAAGAAAAGGAAAGAAAGGAAAGAGAGAAAAGGAAAGGAAAGAAAAGGAAAGAAAGGAAAGAAAAGGAAAGAAAGGAAAGAAAGGAAAGGAAAGAAAAGGAAAGAAAGGAAAGAGAGAAAAGGAAAGAAAGAAAAGGTAAAAAGGAAGCCCCCATGGGCAAAGCAAGAGGGATTTGCAGAGGGCGGGTGGGGGGGGAGGCGCAGCGGACGCGGACGCGGGCGAGAAAGCCTCGCTGCGAGGCGGGGCGGGATCTCTTGGGGGCGGGGCCTCGGCCGCGCGCAGGCGCAGTCAGGCTCAGGTCGCCGCCGCCGCGCCGCTGGGTCGCCGCTGCGCTTGCGCACAAGCCGCGCTGCGCGCGCCTCACCATGTGCCTTTCGCCGCCGCCCCCGCCTCCGCCCCCGCCCCCGCCCCCGCTGCCGCCGCCGGTACCTGCCGCCCGGTGCTCCCCGGCGCTCCTCCCGCGAAGCCTCGCTCTGTCCTCGCGGCCCCCGGCCGGGACGCCCTCCCCGGCCTCCGAGCTGCCCGCACCGCCCTCCCGTCCTCAGCGCTTCGCCCCGCGCCCCGGGAACGGCGCCGCCCCCGCCCCGCCAACGGCTCCTTTCCCGAGGGCCAGTGCGCGTGGACGCACCTGCGGAAAAGGGCGCCTCTTGCCCGACAGTCGGGCACTTGCCCGAAAGTAACACAGACACGTGTACTTGTTTTTATTTGTAGTGCCAGTCCTCCATCTGGGATTGAAGAGGAAGCTGCTGAAAATGGTGTTCCTAAGCCAGTAACATAAGGCTTTGGAATTCAGTCGCTTCCGTATTTAAAATCTGTAGATTTCTAGTTAAGAAGAAAGTCTACATTTAGCTAGACTTTGGAGTATCCTGCACAATCTCGCTGTCAGGTATTTTTATTTGATGCACAGTGAAAAGAAATAGTGGGAAGGTGTTCAGATGAAATAGAGTGTGTGCAGAGGTTTATTGCTTTCATTTGAGTTCTGAACCTGTTAGATTATCACAGTTCTTTTAAGAAATAATTGGCTTTTTTGGTTTTGTTTTTAAGCAAGATGTTATTTTGTATGTTGGTCTCTGACCTCATTCACCTTCAAAGTGATGTTTTGCAGGATTATTTTACCATGGTCTTTTGAAGATTTTAATATATTCAATTATTTCTATGAAAGAAAGAGATTGGTACTCTGCAGGATTAAACTTGTCCTGGTAAAAATGTTTTTCCCAGGTTCATGGTTTTCCATCTTTTTCAGACTCTGGCCCCTTCCAGCCTTTTTTTCCACGTGTGGCCTGGTGGCCTGCCCTCTCCTGCTAATGGTCCTCTAGTCTCCTGCTTTCTCCCACCCATGGGAATTCTGCCGTTGCCCCTTGGAACATCCTGGTCTCATACCGTCTCTTATTGATAAATACTGGTTTAAATGTTCCTTTTTTTTAAAAGTTAACCAAAAGGATACTATGGACAAAAGAGCTGTTTAGAGCCAGAATAACACTTTCCTAAGAGATTTCCTAAGTATGCTGATGTTTTTTCATTTTTCAGATAAAATATATTCCCGGTCATTTTGTGGCAAGACCTCTTCTAGATATAAATGATTGCCATGACTGGTGAGCTCTTTGGTAACATTTTGTTGCTTTTTAACCTAACACTGTGCCTAGTATGATTAATTTTTTTTTCTTTTCGGGGCACACCTGCTGATGCACTGGCTCTGCACTCAGGAATTATTCCTGGCAGTGCTCAGGGACCATATGGGATGCTGGTAATCGAGTCCAGGGTCAGCCTGGACTCGATTAAAAACAAGTACACATGTCTGTGGTTACTTTCGGGCAAGTGCCCGACTGTCGGGCAAGAGGCGCCGTTTTCCGCAGGTGCGTCCACGCGCACTGGCCCTCGGGAACGGAGCCGTTGGCGGGGCGGGGGCGGCGCCGTTCCCGGGGCGCGGGGCGAAGCGCTGAGGACGGGAGGGCGGTGCGGGCAGCTCGGAGGCCGGGGAGGGCGTCCCGGCCGGGGGCCGCGAGGACAGAGCGAGGCTTCGCGGGAGGAGCGCCGGGGAGCACCGGGCGGCAGGTACCGGCGGCGGCGGCGGCAGCGGGGGCGGCGGCGGCGGCAGGCACGTGGTGAGGCGCGCGCGGCCCGGCTTGTGCGCACGCGCAGCGGCGACCCAGCGGCGCGGCGGCGGCGACCTGAGCCTGACTGCGCCTGCGCGCGGCCGAGGCCCCGCCCCCAAGAGATCCCGCCCCGCCCCGCAGGGAGGCTTTCTCGCCCGCTGAAAAGGAAAGAAAGGAAAGAGAGAAAAGGAAAGGAAAGAAAAGAAAGGAAAGAAAAGGAAACAAAAGGAAAGAAAGGAAAGGAAAGAAAAGGAAAGAAAGGAAAGAGAGAAAAGGAAAGAAAGAAAAGGTAAAAAGGAAGCCCCCATGGGCAAAGCAAGAGGGATTTGCAGAGGGCGGGTGGGGGGGAGGCACAGCTGACGGGGACGCGGGCGAGAAAGCCTCGCTGCGAGGCGGGGCGGGATCTCTTGGGGGGCGGGGCCTCGGTCCCGCGCAGGCGCAGGCGCAGTCAGGCGCAGGTCGCTGCCTCCGCGCCAGTGGGTCGCAGCTGCGCGTGCGCAAAAACTGCGCCGCGCGCGCCGAACCAGGTCCCCGCTGCCGCCGCCGGCATGTGGGAGCCCCATCACCCCACATGGTCCCCAACGCCCGCCAAGAGTGGTTCCACGCAGGCAGAGTGTGGCCCCAAAACTAAACTTCATAAAGCAATTCTGGGGGGCCGGAGTGAGAGCACAGTGGGGAGGGCGTTTGCCTTGCACGTGGCTGACCCAGGTTCGATTCCCAGCATCCCACAGGGTCCCCCGAGCACCGCCGGGTAATTCCCGAGCGCAGAGCCGGGAGGAAGCCCTGAGCGTCGCCGGGTGTGACCCCCCAAAAAGCAAAACAAAATAAAGTAATTCTGAGAGTGCGGATTAACCGGTTTCCGTCTTATAGATAAGGACCCTCAGGAAAGGAGCCGTTGGCGGGGCGGGGGCGGCGCCGTTCCCGGGGCGCTGGGCGAAGCGCTGAGGACGGGAGGGCGGGGCGGGCAGCTCAGAGGCTGGGGAGGGCGTCCCGGCCAGGGGACGCGAGGACAGAGCGAGGCTTCGCGCGAGGAGCGCCGGGGAGCACCGGGTGGCAGGTACCGGCGGCGGCAGCGGGGGCGGCGGCGGCGGGGGGCGGCGGAGGCGGCGAAAGGCACCTGGTGAGGCGCGCGCAGCGCGGCTTGTGCGCACGCGCAGCGGCGACCCAGCGGCGCGGCGGCGGCGACCTGAGCCTGACTGCGCCTGCGCGCGGCCGAGGCCCCGCCCCCAAGAGATCCGCCCCGCCTCGCAGCGAGGCTTTCTCGCCCGCGTCCGCGTCCGCTGCGCCTCCCCCCCCACCCGCCCTCTGCAAATCCCTCTTGCTTTGCCCATGGGGGCTTCCTTTTTACCTTTTCTTTCTTTCCTTTTCTCTCTTTCCTTTCTTTCCTTTTCTTTCCTTTCCTTTCTTTCCTTTTCTTTCCTTTCTTTCCTTTTCTTTCCTTTCCTTTTCTCTCTTTCCTTTCTTTCCTTTTCTTTCTTTCCTTTTCAGCGGGCGAGAAAGCCTCCCTGCGAGGCGGGGCGGGATCTCTTGGGGGCGGGGCCTCGGCCGCGCGCAGGCGCAGTCAGGCTCAGGTCGCCGCCGCCGCGCTGCTGGGTCGCCGCTGCACGTGCGCACAAGCCGTGCCGCGCGCGCCTCACCACGTGCCTGCCGCCGCCGCCCCCGCTGCCGCCGCCGGTACCAGCCGCCCGGTGCTCCCCGGCGCTCCTCCCGCGAAGCCTCGCTCTGTCCTCGCGGCCCCCGGCCGGGACGCCCTCCCCGGCCTCCGAGCTGCCCGCACCGCCCTCCCGTCCTCAGCGCTTCGCCCATCGCCCCGGGGACGGCGCCGCCCCCGCCCCGCCAACGGCTTCTTTCCCGAGGGCCAGTGCGCGTGGACGCACCTGCGGAAAAGGGCGCCTCTTGCCCGACAGTCGGGCACTTGCCCGAAAGTAACCACAGACACGTGTACTTGTTTTTATTTGTAGTGCCAGTCCTCCATCTGGAATTGAAGAGGAAGCTGCTGAAAATGGTGTTCCTAAACCAGTAACATAAGGCTTTGGAATTCAGTCGCTTCCGTATTTAAAATCTGTAGATTTCTAGTTAAGGAGAAAGTCTACATTTAGCTAGACTTTGGAGTATCCTGCACAATCTCGCTGTCAGGTATTTTTATTTGATGCACAGTGAAAAGAAATAGTGGGAAGGTGTTCAGATGAAATAGAGTGTGTGCAGAGGTTTATTGCTTTCATTTGAGTTCTGAACCTGTTAGATTATCACAGTTCTTTTAAGAAATAATTGGCTTTTTTGGTTTTGTTTTTAAGCAAGATGTTATTTTGTATGTTGGTCTCTGACCTCATTCACCTTCAAAATGATGTTTTGCAGGATTATTTTACCATGGTCTTTTGAAGATTTTAATATATTCAATTATTTCTATGAAAGAAAGAGATTGGTACTCTGCAGGATTAAACTTGTCCTGGTAAAAATGTTTTTCCCAGGTTCATGGTTTTCCGTCTTTTTCAGACTCTGGCCCCTTCCAGCCTTTTTTTCCACGTGTGGCCTGGTGGCCTGCCCTCTCCTGCTAATGGTCCTCTAGTCTCCTGCTTTCTCCCACCCATGGGAATTCTGCCGTTGCCCCTTGGAACATCCTGGTCTCATACCGTCTCTTATTGATAAATACTGGTTTAAATGTTCCTTTTTTTTAAAAGTTAACCAAAAGGATACTATGGACAAAAGAGCTGTTTAGAGCCAGAATAACACTTTCCTAAGAGATTTCCTAAGTATGCTGATGTTTTTTCATTTTTCAGATAAAATATATTCCCGGTCATTTTGTGGCAAGACCTCTTCTAGATATAAATGATTGCCATGACTGGTGAGCTCTTTGGTAACATTTTGTTGCTTTTTAACCTAACACTGTGCCTAGTATGATTAATTTTTTTTTCTTTTCGGGGCACACCTGCTGATGCACTGGCTCTGCACTCAGGAATTATTCCTGGCAGTGCTCAGGGACCATATGGGATGCTGGTAATCGAGTCCAGGGTCAGCCGTGCGCAAGGCAAATGCCCTCCCTGCAATGCTATGGCTCCAGCTCCATAATTAATTTTTCACTCTTATCTTCACATTCCTTTTGCCAAAAGTTCTTCAAATGCCTACTTTTTATGGTTCTATCTGCTGGATATCTTAGCACATTCCCTTAGATCCTTTTTGCAAGAGAGAAAGCTTTACGCATAAAGATACATTAGTTTGTCATACAAAAACTTCTTGACAGCCTCTTTTCACATTTCTATCACTCTTTTTTAGTTTTTAAAACATTAAATTTACAAAGAAGAAATGGAAACATTGGTTTCATAACTCTAAACCCATAGATGAAACAAATTGGTTACTGTTTCAGTTATTCATGTTGAAGGTGCATTATTGAATCTATTTTATTACTGTTTATGTTGGTACAGAAAGTGACTGAAACTGAATATGATAGTGACAGTGATGATGATGAGGATGATGTTCATGTCACTATCGGAGACATTATAACGGGAGCACCACAATATGGGTAAGTTTTTAAATTTTCAATTTCAAGTCTTATGGTGCAGGGAATTGATCCCAGGACCACATACATGTGAAGCATGTGCTCTCCCACTGAAATACATCCTTTACTTCTTTAACTAACAGTCCTGTATCAAAAACGGGGTGCCATTATTAAGACGTTAGTGATAGATTCTGTTGGTTTTACATTTTTTATCATATCATGATATGAAAGCATTCTTATTTAAGTCTTACTTTCAGTTACTAAAAGTTGTACATCTTAAACATTCTTATAAGAAGAAAATGAAAACTGTGACGATGAATGTTAAATTGCTGTGATCAGCATTTTGCAGTTTATATACATACATATATGTATGTATATGTATGTCAAGTCATGTTGAACACCTAAAACAAATTCTTTGTTATTTATGTCTCAAAAAATACTTAGCCATGGAAAACATTTCCTTCCTAATGGTGAATTGAATTATAAAAGTTGCATGGAATCAGTAATTTGTAATTCTAGGACTGAAAGTGTTTTTGTAAAATGAGTGCTACAAATTTTTAGATTTAGAAACTATTAAATTGCAGCTTGTATTCTTCCAATCTTGAGCTTTGTTTTTTTATGTATGTTATATATGTATATATTTTAAAATAAGGCCCAAAACTGGTAGTGTTGGGGATACTTTCAGTGGTATTCATGGTACAGGATCTGACATGTTAGGCATGTGCTTTTATTTGAGCTATTTTCTTAGCTCTAGGATTTTAATATTTTTAATTCAGTTTTTTAATTGATTTTTAAAAAATCAGAAGGCTTTTATTTTTAAACTCTCTATGGCTTGTTTCTTTAGTTTGGGGGAGTAGGAGCACACCCAGAGATATTCAGGTGTTACTCTGGAACCGATCCTTTAAAAAATATATATTTAGCAGGGGTGAGGGTTGGAGCCACACCCAGCTGTGCTCAGGGCTTGCTCCTATCTCTGTGCTCAAGGATCCTTCCTGTTGGGTTTTAGGGACCATACGGGGTGTCAGGGATCCAACCCTAATCAACTGTGTGCAAGGCAAGTGCCTAACCTGCTGTGCTATCTATCTGGCCCCGAAGTTTTAAAATATTTTAAAATGTATTTTAAAACTATATTTCAGAGTTCGTTCCAGATTTTTCTGTAGCTTTGAATTGCTGTCTGCGTGAGATGCTGAATCCAGAGTAAGCCAGCAGCTTCCCTGCTGAAGAAGATAATTTATGAAAATTCACTTAAAAAAAGACTAAATCTCCTATCTTGAATCTCTGCATACAGTGTAACTTGATAGTATATTTTTTTAAAAAAATAATTTAAAATGATTTTTAGGGGCTGGAGAGATAGCACAGCAGTAAGGCGTTTGCCTTGCAAGCGGCCAATATGGCCGACCCGAGTTCGATTCCTCCGCCCCTCTCGGAGAGCCCGGCAAGCTGCCAAGAGTATCTCGCCTGCACGGCAGAGCCTGGCAAGCTGCCCGTGACGTATTCGATATGCCAGACACAGTAACAACAAAGTCTCCGATGGAGACGCTACTGGGCCCGCTCGAGCAAAGCGATGAATAGCGGGAGGACCGTGACTAAATCCTAAATCCGTGATTTTTAGGGGCTGCAGAGATAACACAGCGGGCAGGGCGTTTGCCTTGCATGGGGCCCACCCAGGTTCGATTCCCAGCATCCCATATGGTCCGCTGAGCACCGCCAGGAGTAACTCCTGAGTGCAGAGCCAGGAGTAACCCCTGTGCATCGCCGGGTGTGACCCAAAAAGCAAAATAAAAAAAAAACAGATTTTTAGTCATTAATTACAGACATTTAATATTCCAACACCAGTCCACCACCATTGCACCTTCTCACCACCATTATTTCCAATTTTCCCAACTACCACTTGAACGTGCCCCCATAGCAGACCCACTATTATTTATTTTACATTGCTCGTTATAAATAATTTGATAAAAGGATGATCAAAAACTGTTTCCTTAGAAGAAAGATTGTGAATTTTTTCTTTGTTTGCTTTTTTGCTCCAGCCCCGGTAGTGAAGATTCTTCTATCTCACCATGGAGCCCTTAAACCTTGTGTAAGAGATTACTAAGACGTTACAGGTAAAGCCTTCTGTATATAGATTTTGTCAATTGAAATTGGTTGCCTTTCATATTACATACCATCCAGTCTGGTGTGCTACTTCTGGCTCAACAGTGTTACAGAGTTAGAGATGTTGCGTAGCCAGAATTGCATCCACACACTCCAGGGTGTCCAAAAGTGTTGACGGAGTAACAGATGGAGTGAAATTCTTAACTGGTGGCTTTGGGGCATAGGCCTGACGGCTGGGCTTCCAGAAGCACAGAGGGTAGTCTGTGCCCGATCTCTGAAAGCTGATTGTGGAATGTGGAGGTTTTTGGCTGCTGGCACTCTGTTTGGGTGGACGTGGGGATTCACCCGTTCCTCTCTGGGTTGCCTCTGGATGACTCAGCCTTGTGCAGGATCCGAGAGAAATTCTTGATCTCTTTCAAGATTTATTTCTAAGTTTGTTATTCTAATTTATTCTGGATCATGGCCTGTGAGAGAGCTCACATGGCGCTGGAGGTGTTCCTGCCGGGCTTCCAGAAGAACAGGGATACATGGAGGGAGGGAACCCTCCCTGACCTCATGAAAGCTGGAGATTTCAATCACAAAACCTGCATGCTGGAGTTTTTCAAAATTAATTTCTGGATGAGACTTATCCGGATAGTGGAATTCGGCCAGGAGCAAACTGATGATTGTGAAACATCCAAAAAATTTTGAAAAGAATTATCAGGAGGGGATGAGTGAAAATGACCATGAAAAAGAGCTGTGGAGAGACAGTTTTTGTGGATGAAAGTTGCAGAGTTGGGCTGTAGAGGGTGGAGAGGTAAGTGGAAAGTGAGGGAGGGGTCCATTAGCACAGACCTCTCTAGAAGGCTGACTGTGAATCCATGTTATATTCTTTGATCTAAGTTAAAATGGGGGGATAAAGAAGATACTTTTGAGTACTAAACAGAATTATGGGTAACTTGGAGAACTCAGTGGCTTCACGGCTTGTCGAGACGTTAATTGAAAATATAACTGATCTGGTCAATGTGGGAGATTCATGTTAAAATGAAATACTTTCACATACTTGCTTGAAATTCCTTTGGACTCCCAGGTATGTGGGATCTAGCACTTCGTGGCTATCTAAATTACTGTTAAGGAAAATGTATACAGGTCTTAGGCCAAAATCACATAAGTAATATTGGCTAAACCTTGAATGTGAATGGGGTTCTGGCTCCAAATTTTAGCTTTTCCCTCTGTTTTCAGGTATATTTTACTACGTTAATTGAAATTGAGTTCATCTTTACAAGTGTTTCGTTTTCATGTAACTTCCACGCAGATCAGGATATGGAATGGTACTCGCATTCTAGAAACCTGTTCCCTATTGTTTTCTCTCCGTCATTAACCACTTACACCAACAACCACATTCTGGTTTTGGTTTAGATTGATTTCATTTTATGAATTTATTTTATGGACAAAAGTAGTCCATGTATTTGAAAGACGATCTACTAACAGTATTGAATGCAGTGAGAGCCTAAAGGAGATCACTGGATTATAAAACAAGGACTATTTCTTATTACTTCTTTCTTACAGGATTGCTGACTACTGAATTAAGTAGGAGGCAAGGAAATGAGGACAAGATGTATATATAAATGTGTTACTTACGCTTTAGGGCTGGAGTGACAGCACAGTGGGTAAGGCGTTTGCCTTGCATGTGGCCAACATGGCGACCTGGGTTCGATTCCTCCGCCCGAGAGTATCTCGCCCCCAGGGTAAAGTCTGGCAAGCTACCTGTGATGTATTTAATATGCCAAAAACAGTAAGAACAAGTCTCCCAATTTGTTGTGAGACGTTACTGGTGCCCGCTCGAGCAAATTGATAAACAACGGGAGGACGGTGCTACAGTGCTACTTTCCCTTGACCAGCTTAGTTTCTTGGGAAGTGTGTAACAGTGGGACATGTACTGGCAGGTAGGTTTTTGAAGAAAAAAACATTCAACTTTTAAGACCCCCTTTTGGGGGGGCATGGGAGAATTGGGGAGTGGGGTGGCTTCCTAAGTGGTGTTCAGTGCTAATGGCCTGGAATGAATTTTTTTAGGGATAGGCCTGCCAGGTGTTGCTCCGGGGCCCCCTTGCCCTTGGGGATTTCCTCCTGTTGATTCTTGGCTGTTTGAGCAGCAGTGACAGTGCTTGGGACCCCTGGATAATAATCTGGCAGTGTGCGAGGGGTCAGATTGTGTTGGGGATGATGCCCAGGTCATGCTCATATTATGTATGTGCCCTAACCCAAACATATAAGATGTAATTGTTTCTTTTGTGGAAGAGTCCTCCCTTTGTTCAGGTGGCCCAGGCCTCACTGCGAGTGATTCTCAGCCCAATGGTAGGTGGTTTAATTTGAGGGCCAATGTATGTGGTCGTATTGTTCCAGTCGTGCTCAGGTGCTTCCAAGGACACATCTGGGGGTACTTTTGAAGGCCTTCAGCACTATCTTTCTTGATCCCAGAATATCTGTTTTTTTTTTAAATTTTTTGTTTAATAAGTGACAAAAAATTAAGACTTTTTTCCCCCTAGGGGTCAGAGAAATAGTACAGCGAGTTAAGTCACTTGATTTGCCTGTAACCAGTTTAGTTTGATCCCCGACACCACCTGGTCCCCCGAGCATTGCTGAATTGGCTCTGAAGGTCTCTGAGCACAACTGGGGTACTCTAGATAATCCTTGGTACTGCAGTGCTTGAAGAACATTGCATTCTCAGACCCAGGCATTGAACTGCCGACCACAGTAATGGCAGGAAGGGACCCTTAGGTCCCCTAATCAGCACTTCGGAACCCTCCCCCACACCCACTTTTTTAAAACATGTTAGTCAATGTCAGTCTATATATGTATAACTTGTATACATGGAGTATATTGCTATTTTTGTTTAGTTCAGGATTATCAGAATAATTTTTGTTGTTCTTAGGAGTTACGGAAAAGCACCAGTGAATCTTAATATCAAGACAGGAGGAAGAGTTTATGGAACTACAGGTAAAATTTGTATTTGCCAGTGCATCAGTAGGAAAGTAATGACTATGCCTGAATAACGTACAGACTATAGTAGCTATCACAGGTGATCTGAAGAGTGCTTCAGTTCAATTCAAGAGAGTCGTTTAAACTTGTGTCTCAAGGATGGGGAAACTTTTCTCTGTGAAAGGCTTTGTAAGAGAATACGTATTTGTAGAGTTTGTGGGTCACGAGGTTTCTTTCCCTCTTTTGATTTTAACTTGTTTGTACAACCCTGTAAGACCTGTTATAGTTCACAGCATATAAAAAGGGATTTAACACCTGGAAGTTATTGGTACATATTGGTACAGGAATTTATTTGAATGAGTTAACAAGTTCCTAATCCGTACACTTTATCTTAGAGTTTCTTCCCTAAAGTTTAAACTTACTGTTATTGATAACGTGCTTATTCCTATAGTATGCCTGACTCTAATGTTCTCATTGAAGCCTTTGTTTTATTGAGAGCTATCACTAGTAAAATGGTGTTTTCTGTTTTTCTCTCAGTATCTTGCTCATGCCATTCTTTCTCTATTTTGTATTTGTTAAAAAAGGAACAAAAGTCAAAGGGGTAGAGCTCGATGCACCTAGAAGTATTAATGGAGTTCCACTCTTGGAGGTAGATTTGGATTCTTTTGAAGATAAACCATGGTGTAAACCTGGTAAGATGATAAATGACTCCATACCCCTCCCTGGGACCAGCCTCAGTGACCCTCAAGGTCCTGGGGCACTCAGTGTGTGTGATGCTCAGTCTTCTGGGATGAACATTGTGGTACCCGGGAGTGTGCTCCAGGCCACTGAGCATGTGCTCTAATACTCGAGCTGTTTCCCCAGCAGAAGAGGACTGGATTTTTCTTGGGAACACCTGATGGTGCTTGAGGTCTGCTGGCAATGACTGGTTACCTGTGTGCTTGTGATCAAACCTGGGCATCTATATTCAAAGCATTCATTCTAGTTCTTTGACTTATCTCTCTGGATTGCAGATTTTTAAAAGATGTTTTGTATTAAAGTCATTAGAGAAGTACCTAACTTTCAGTATCAATAGTATTCATAGGATTTTTGTAAATGTCATTATAAATGTCCTAAGCATAATTCGCAGTAATGACCTGTGTTGCTAAATTGTAACAGTAGCTTAGCATTATATTAGTCTTGCATAGCATAGTATTTTCTTATAATGCCATTTATAAAGGAAATTTCATTAAAAACATAGTTTTGTGGTGCTAGAGTAATAATCGGGAGAACTAGTAAAATTTGAAGAAGTATTTATACTTATAGAACTTATCATTTACATTTTTATATTTTATTTGCTGCATAAAAATAGGATTGAAATACTTGCATACAAAAGTTGTGTCTTCTTTTTAGGCGCTGACCTTTCTGATTATTTTAATTATGGGTTTAACGAAGATACCTGGAACGCTTACTGTGAAAAACAAAAAAGGATACGAATGGGGCTTGAAGTTATAGCAGTTACCTCAATTACAAATATATTTATGGTAATTAGTAAACATTTCAAAATACTCCTGTCTTTTCTATTTTCTATTCACTTTTTTTCCCTAATCACTTTTTCCCCATAAAGGTGATTAAATACTGTGTGATAGTTTAAAATTCCATTCTTTTTATCGTATTTTTTCCCCTTCCCTTTCAGAGTTCTATGTTAATGCTTATCTGATATTTAGCTACAAGTTACTGACTAGCCACAGTTAGTTTGTATTTGTATGGCCTATCAATTCAAAATTACATGGCATCTGAATGGGGAATATGTTATTTAACTTATGCCAAAGACTGTACTATGGGAGTTACACCAGGTGCAGAGATCCAAGATGGCAGATTCAATCTTTTTTTTTTTTTTTTTTGGTTTTGACTTTTTGGGTCACACCCAGCGATGCACAGGGTTTACTCCTGGCTCTGCACTCAGGAATTACCCATGGCGGTACTCAGGGGACCATCTGGGATGCTGGGAATCGAACCTGGGTCAGCCGCGTGCAAGGCAAATGCCCTACCCGCTGTGCTATCGCTCCAGCCCCAGATTCAGTCTTTTTTAAAGGTGAATTTTAGTAAATTATCCTTGGTTGCTCTCATTTTTTGTTCTTGAGTCTTCTCCTATGCCACTACTCAAGGGACAAGATTAAAGTGGAAATAGCTTCTCTGTTTCCCAAACCTTCAGCTTCCTGGTGACCTACAAGTTTGCTGATTGTTGTTTCATCTCCACTTTTGCAAGCATGTGAATTTGTACCCTATTATACTAACAAATGCAAAGTAAAGTTCTTGCTCTATGTTGTGATTTTATTTTGAGTCATAGTCTATGTTTGTTTGTTGGATATAAAAGTTCTTCCAACAGGTTATGCTATTATATAGACCATAATATAATCTATCAAAATTGGAGGCTTAAATTTTCCTTGTTGTTTTTTTTAACAATGGTAAGGAAAATGGCAATCTGAATATCTCTATAACTTTGAATGTTGTATGTATTGCAGTTTGGGCATTCTTTAAGAAAAGAGTCTCTTAAAAATTGTGGATTTACTATTATTTACAATGACTAGAAACATTTTCTGGAAAGTGAATTTTACTTTTACTGGTTCTTTATATTTTCCTTGAATAGAACAAAGAAAGTTCCTTTGTAAACTTCCAGCTTCCATATACTTTTGTCTCTTTGCAGTAAACTTCTAAAAGTAAAGAATATAAAGGAAACGATGGTTTCCATTGAAGGTAGCCTTCATGAATACCTTGCTGATATGTATACTGCTTTACTGCAAAGTTGTTTTGAAGAGTTTTTTTCTGGTTTGGAGTAGAGGTCATTTTTCCATTTTAATTTGTGATTCTGAATGAATAAGGGTTTGAGTTGGATAAGTATAGTCTGTTGGTTTTTTTACCTTGATAATGTGCTTAAATATTGCTTGTCTTGTAGAAATATTGATTAGGGAATAGGGTATGTATTTTTTGTTTGTTTGTTTGTTTGTTTCGGGACCACATCTGTTGGTGCTTGGGGAATACTCCTGTCTTGGTGCTCGGGGGGACTTCTTTTGATGATGGGAACTTGGTGGTGATGGGCATTAAACATGGGCCTCCTGCATGCAAAGCATGTGGTCAGCCCATTGAGCAAGCTCTCCAGTCATTCAACTTCATTACTGTGTGCAGCTCACGTTTTTTTTTTTCATTTTGCTTACTGTTGTCTGTAGGATCTTTTAAAATAATGAAAATGTGTTTGAGCGCAGTTGATATTTTTAAGCTGCAGTTTAAATTTCTGAAAGTGCCATGTTAAAGTTAAGATTTTCAGAGTTTTGTGGAATATTTAAAAAAATGATTACTTGTCTTTTACCATGTACCATGTAAATGGTGATTAGTAAAATGCTACAAAGTTCTTATCAGTAATGCAAACACAAAGAGGTAAATGTGTGAGGTCCTAAGTGTGAAAAGGCATATTTTAGATAAAAATATTATCGTTTCTAGGGAATTACAAGAATTAATATGAAATCAGATATTACTTTGGTATGTAAAATTATTGTGATGCTAAATATAGCTTGTTTCAGTGCTTTCTTATTAAAAAATCTTTAACTATGTCAATTTTATTGTGATACCAGGATTTACAGTATCGTAAATCATTGATTTTGTGCATACATCTTTGCAGTACCACACGTAACACCAGCGACTAATTCCTTTGACTGATGTCTCAAGGACCTTTCCCAATTCTCCACCCTCCCCACACCAACCTTCATGCAACCTCAGTTCTATAGATAAAAACTTTCCGTTTAGACTATAGAAGAAAAACAGTATGCAGTATTAGAGAAGTGTGTATTACTGTATTGGGTTTGAGGGTATAGAGAAATATTCTAGATGGAGGAAATTCTAGTTCTGTGCGGTGGGTGACCGCGGCGTCCCTGCAACATTCTCTGTCCTCAGCCTTCCCCGCTTCGCCTTCTGAATGCCGTGCGGGTCTTCCCCAGCGCTGCTGCCACCCCATCCGTGGTTCTAGGCCGTGGTCACATTGTATTCGCGTGCGCCGCCCACTCAGCCCAATGGGCCTGCAACCTGCAGCCGCTTTTCCAGTCCTCTCCGCTGAAGGTGGGTTGGCGCTTGGCTGGGATGGGGGCCATGGGAAGCAGTGCTGGGCTGGGGCACCTTGCACTGCCAGATACCCCCTGCCCCCCCAGCTTCCCGCTGCCTTGCAGTGTCTACCAGTATCCAGGCAACACACGGCGAGTCCCCACAGGCTGTCTTCTGCAGAAACTCCGAGGCTGGTTGCAGTAAGAGACTAGCTGGAAGCGTCAGAGCCCAGTTCACAGCCTCCACCTGGCTTTGAGGGGGTCCAATATGTGCTTGACAGTTCTGCTACCTGGAGGGACTCACGGCCAGCATCATCGCTCTGTCTTCCGCCCACTGTTCCCGGTGCCCACCCTGTGTTCCCATTTCCCACTGAAAACATTCTTCCCTTTGGGTGCTCCTGGGGCTCCACGGTCTCCAGCTCCTGAATTCCATCTTTAGTCCCATTCTTTTGTCTGGCCCATTTCCATTCTTCTGTGGTTCGGTTCAATTTTGGTGGAGCAGGGTTGGGTGTGGAGGGGATGGGGTTAGAACCTAGGGGTCCCCCGCTCCGCTGTTTTCCCGTGCAGACCCCCACCCCCTCCCATACTTCTGAATATATGAATGAGAATTATGGTTTCCAAGCCTTTCACATGATAATTCTAAGCCTCCTCTGATTGGCTCCCTGAAGTGGCTTCTCTTGTGGTCATTCTCACTCCCCGTCCTTTTGTCCTTGCCTGCGACTTGATCAGACATGAGAACACCCCTTCGTGTGACCACAGACTCTTCTGCTCCTCTGCAGACCCAACACCTGCTTCAGCCCCTACTCCAACCCCTAGGAGTGAAATCAAGGTCTCATGGACCTTATTTGCTTTGCAGACAGTAAGCTGCAGCTAGACTCTGGCCATCTCACGGTCATATTACAGCTGGATTTGAAAACGTTTTTGGCCATAGCAATTGAAAAGCTGGAGCGATAGCACAGCAGTAGGGCATTTGCCTTGCACGCAGCCAACATGGCCGACCCGAGTTAAATTCCTCCGCCCCTCTCCGAGAGCCCGGCAAGCTACCAAGAGTATCTCGCCCGCACAGTAGAGCCTGGCAAGCTATCTGTGATGTATTCGATATGCCAAACACAGTAACAACAAGTCTCAAAATGGAGACGTTACTGGACCTGCTCCAGCAAATCGATGGACAACGGGAGGACAGTGATAGTAAAGAGGGGGAAAGCTCTTGGCTTCCACTTGCTAACACTGGTTGGATCCCTGGCATCCCCTCCTAAGACCTACCAGGAGGGGTTCTTGAGTGCAGAGCCAGGATGAAGCCTGGGCATTGCCAGGTGTGGCCCCAAACCCCAAAATAAATAAATACACTTATATCCATTTTGGGCTGGAGCAATAGCACAGCGGGTAGAGCGTTTGCTTTACAAGCTACCGAAAGCTACCGAAAGTATCTCGCTCCCACTGCCAAGCCTGGCTAACTACCCATGACGTATTCGATATGCCAAAAACAGTAATAGAATCTCACAATTTGTTGTGAAACGTTACTGGTGCCCACTCGAGCAAATCTATGGACAATGGAGGACAGTGCTACAGTGCTATATCCATTGTAATTAATGAGTGGTACTCCTCCCACCCCTTTCTCTCATTGGCTATTAAGACCATTTCGTAGGAACAGGGATGTGACTCAGTGGCAGAGCATAGACCTTGCATGAGTGAGGGCACCCCAGGAGGAAGGCGAGTTTCATAAATATGGTGTTGAGATTTTTATGGCATAAGATTCATTACCAGTATAGTGATAATGGCAACATTCTGTAAATCAGTATGTAGTTGTGAAGGTGGTACTCTAGTTTGATCTTCTCATGCACAGGCTGGGATTACTACCTTATCTCTGAAAATTATCCATTTCCATGAGAGGTTCTTTTATAACTTGGAGAGCACCCATTGTTCTTGTCTATCTTTGGCCTCCTATAAGTACAGAAAAGTAAAGGGGATCTTAATGTAAAATGAAGGAAAGACTCAAGTCATCAGAGAATTTCTTCATAGTTACCAGCAAAAAAATGAATAAAAAAAAACTGTTACAAAATTAAGGTAACTCCTCTCCAGGGTCTCAGAACCCTTCAGAAGCTTCCTAAGTTGACAAAACTGCAGTCACTACAGGTCCAGGCCAGTCTGTGGTGTAAGCATTCAAAGATCAGTCTTCATTGCTCCCTCTCCTCAGGCAGCTTTAGGTTGGAGAAACTAATTTTGTTCTCTTTTCTCATTCCTTGATTTATTCTCTCAACCAACAAACTATCAAGCCTTTGTGAGTAACACACTTTTCTTGCTTCAGAGAATGAGGAAAGGATACAATATGGATTCTTTGAGCACTCAAGGTGCTTATAAACTGGTTATAGTGATAGGCACATGAAACAAATCAATAATTAGTATTGCTCTGCTTTTATTTGTGTTTGAATAGTTTTTCTTTTATGTTTTGCAATGCTCAAGGCTTTCTTCTGACTCTGCACTCAGGGATCACTTCTAGTAGGCTTGGGGGCACCACATGGGGTACTGGGGGTCATACCCAGATTGGCCACA